ATACAACGGTCACGTCCAGGCCGTCAGCTCGTTCTGGCACCTGGACCGAGCAGGAATCGTGCCGAATGAACATCAGACCAAAAATAGTCCCCTCCCCTGTCAGGCGAGTCTGAGAGACACCCTGTGATCAAAGATGGGGAAACACGAGGAACAAATCCAATGCCCGGTAGTCGCAGCTGCCTGACAGTTGTGGAGCTTCCTACAGCGGCGGCGAGGGGAGGCCGAGGAGAGGATGTGAAGGAGGAGATGATATAGATGGCTCAGCAGATGTTTCATTGGAGCTACTCCCATGCGTGAGAGAACGCACGAAGCTGTTCAATGGAAAATGTGCGTTCAGAAGTGGACATGGCACTGAATATGAGATAATTATTAAGGCATTTCTATTTTGGAGCCCTTCTGTGTGTAGTTTTACATAATAAACGTTCGCGTTGCCTTTCTACACGCACACACGTTCCCTGGTCCAGACAAAGAAGCAGCTTTTCTCTTCTTGTCACTGATACCTCTCGAAGTCGGGATCTTCGGCCACAAATAGCTCATTGCCCTATTTGAAAAGTTCCTGGTGGAGCGAGGCCAGTTTGGGCTGGCTATATATACCTACGCTGGCAAATCAAGCAACCTCTCAGCTTTTGCTTCTATATATATAAAGGGGAACGATATAGAATAAATCAGCTGGATGGAGCACATGTCGCATCGATTTTTATACCCAAATGGTTTTCTTGCTGAGTTTGATGTATTCCCCGGAGCCGGAGGGGGCAGCCGGAGGAAGCCCTCACCTCTGCTCCCGGGTTTGCCCGGGATGGTCGGGCAGCACCAGGAATTTGCTGCCAAGGGGTTAAAGCAGCGCCTCTCCCCGTGCCCGTTAGAGCCGGCGGGGGATGCACCGGGGGGACACCGGCTGCGCCGCCCGAACCGCTGGGTTGTGAAACGCGGCAAAGCCGACCCCAGAGGGGCCGTGAAACGGAGGGAGGGGGGAGACACAGGAATAAGGCGTTTATCGGCCTTTACGTTGCTTTTCTCCCAAGGGATGCTCTGGGGAGGCCGCCCAGAGACTGAGCGCGGGGGGAGCGGGGCCGGTCCCGGGAGGAGGAGGGGGCGCGGCTGTTCCACGGGGAGGCCGCCAGGTGGCGCCCGAGTGCCCGCGGCGGGGCCGGGGCCGGGG